AGCAAAAAAGCTTTAACTTCAAAATTGCAAGGTGATTGTAGACCTATATTCATGATTTCACATAAATCAGCATGCAAAAAATACATTACTTTCTTTTTTTCATATAAATAATATAAACATGATAAACCGCTGTGAGTTTCACTTAACTGTAGAGGCAGAGTTGCCATCATAGTCAAATTTCATACAAAACCTGCATTGAGCTGACTTTATGGCAAACATAGAGCAGAATATAAAGACTGAATGAGGGGCTGGTCGAGAGCCTCTATGACTGGATTCATCTCCCCCCGTGCTACAGTGTGTGTGCGCGCGGTGACAGCTCTCACTCGAGCTTGTTATCATCAATATGAATATTCCGATCAAACTGAATACATCTTACATCAACAACACATGACCAGCAACGCGTTGATAATAACAAATAATCAGATTACAAACAACCGTTATTTTTACACGTGTTGTAAACAAATGTGCGGGTCCAGCTGCAGTTTGGGGTGTGTGTGTGAAGCGGAGAGGGAGAGGGAGAGAGAAAGGAGGAGCGGTTTTTGGGCAATGAGACTATTTTAGGTGACTGATTTGTTGTACAAATCAGTAATAAATATTTTGGACCAAGTTACATGTGTCCTCGTTCATTCACCGGCTGCAACTAAAAGAGAAGGCAATTCACCACGAAACTAATATTTGTTCGGCCCTGGAGTAATAAGTTAAGATCCCCTGCTATCTCTACACAACAAAGAGACAGAGCAGGAAAGTTTTATACATGTAATATTTTTCCTGAGGCGATTTAAAGCAAAATACATAATGACACTCAATCAAACACATCTACAATGATAAGGAACATGGTTACTTACTGACTTATTAACGCACAGCAATACCACATAAAGAAATGACAGACTTTGAAGGAATAATCAGTATGAGGAGAGATCCATTATACTGCACTAAGCAAGTCTAAACAAGTTGCGCCCACGCGTGTGCGGCACGCAGGTCTGTACAATTACGTAATTTATCAGCTTAAAGATATTGGCCTAATTTAGACATCGAATCGATAACGATAATCTTAAAAATAGCATTTATCATCCGTTAACGATATGGCCGCCGATATATCGTGCATCCCTATCAAATATTAAAATCAATATTTAGGTATTGATATTAATAATGATATTTTAGCCTCACACGGGGCACCAAGTAATGCAGTGATAATTGGATTTATCAAATATTAAAATCAATATTTAGGTATTGATAGTAATATAGATATTTTAGCCTCACGTGGGGGCACCTATTAATGTAGAAATAACAGATAAATAACTCCTTCTAAATGGGGCACCAGACATCTTTCCGCTGTCAAAATAACTAACAATAAAATATTGTTAATTAAATCATACATATGAGGAGTTTATTATCTGGCCAAATCTGAGGGATAATGAGATTGTTTGACTTGTAGAGCCTTTTTCTGTATTATCAACACAAGGAAGACACAATTGTAATAAAGGTGTATTTATCAACAAAATAGTAATCACAATTACTAAATGTACAATAAATGAAGTGCATAGGCGAGTGATGAAGGTGATTAAGTTAAGGTAAGGTAAACCTTATTCTACAATAACAAAGAACAGAGGAAAGTTTTTGTTATTAATGAATATCAGTTATAAACGTCTAATTCATTAAAATATTTTATAATGAAACACACTATGCCAAGGTCTAATTTAGAGGGTTGGAAAGTGGGATATTTACGTTTCTGCCTTTGATGCAGTGGATGGAAGAAGTTGGATCTTCCTGCAGGTCTTGAAGCATGAAACGAGCAGACTTGGCTCTCCTGAGCTTTGAGTGAGAGAAATCTGTAGTTTTTGGAACACGCAGACAGGAGATTTCTGAAAGTGGTGGTTCGATGTCGGGAAAACGCAGACGTCTTTATCCTTGAGCATAGAAATCTGTATCTTCTGGAACACGCAGAAAACTGAGATTTCTGGAGGTGGTGTTCTGATGTCGGGGACACACCGACGTCTTTATCCTTGTGCGTAGAAATCTGTGTATTCTGGAACACGCAGAAATTGAAGATTTCTGGAGGTGGTGGTTTGATGTCGGGGACACGCCGACGTCTTTCTGAAGGTAGAGTTACTGGAAATCTGGGACACGCAGATTTCTGGAGGTGGTGGTCTTGAAGCTATGGTTTCAAATGCCTTGGAAAAAGCAATGTGAATCCAATTACCAAATCCTTGCTGAAACACGCAGCAAAAATTCTGATGTCTAGGACAGAACCCCGCAAACCACCATGAACCACACTTTGACCACACTTTTAACCACACACTTTGACCACACTTTTTACCACACACCCTTTCTCTTTGTTTAAGAGAATGTCTTTTAATACTTTCTCTGGAAGGCGGGATTAAAGGATGTCACCTTTCAAATCCAGCATTGTGATCGGATGATCCTGTGAGTTGGTAACTGGGAGGTGTCATCCATAATGTGGCCTGCATTTGCATAGTCATAGTCCACTGGTTAACTATTATAAAATTTAAGAGTCTTAAATATTTTCCTATTCATAATTCACTTTCCAAACCACATCTAATTTACCCAAGGCATTATTTGCAATATATAGTCTAAACATCACTATGTAATGTTAATCTTTACCCAAGCATTCATATATAAACCTTAATAAGCAATGTTTCATACAATGAAGTATTTCAAGCAGTGCATATTAAATATATGCATGATCATTTGAATATACAGGTATATAAAGTAAAATTTTCCATTTGTGTCTCTTTTGTGAAATGCAAGTTTACTGATCCATGTGTCTCTTTTTGTTTGAGACGACGTGAAAAGTTGATTGGATCAAGAAGCAGGTTCTGGGCTCTTAACACCTTTTTCTTTCAGATAAAAAAAAAGACAGATGGTCACTGTCTCAATTGCCACTTTCTGATGAGCTTAAAAGGCCATGAAACCCCCTCGTTTCAGCAGGGTGTTTTCACACCTCAAAGTCAGAAAAGTGGGCGTGTCCAGCTCTGTTTAGGGGTTAGTGTCGGAGGAACTAAAGTGGGAGGGTGTGGGAGTGTCTATTTGGGCACGCGCAAGTTTCAGTCAAAATACACACAGGAGAAAGTGATGGTGTTTAACCTACATGGACATCTGTAGTCGAATTATTTGCCAAATTATTAAATGGTGGACTTTAACTGCAGTTTGGCTCTTTTATTAAGGAAATTCATTCATGCCCCTCGCGACAAACGAGATATTTGACTCGAGGATCTGCTCTAAGCGTGTATTTTTCATGCAATGTTTGATACTGCACGGCGAATGAGAGAAAAAAAAACTCTGCATTTTCCGGAAACTTAGATGCACACGGCAGGTAGCGTCAGAAAGCCGCGTGTGTTATTCCGGTCACAAAATGCGGTGCTAACATGTTTGCAATTAGTGCAATAGTTAACTTAGTTCAATACGAACAAACTGAATAAACAAAGATCACTGGTCGCTCACTTACCAAATCTGTAGAGACAGGACAATCCCCAGCAACTAGAGCCGCGTCTTTATTAAAAGGAGAATACAAGCGAATCCGGATCTCAGCGTTTGCAGATGAGAACAGCTCTCAGGTAAACAATAATCCAGATGAGCTCTCACAGAGAGAAAATGAAAACGAAAGCAAACTATAAAAGCAACACTTCACGCTTGTTTTGCCAACACAACGTGGCGTCTCTGTGGTATAAGCACTGTGACAGTAATGAATATTAATGAAGTTGCACAATAGAGCGTGCTGATTGGTTTAAACCAAGCCTTACTCATGCATTAATGCATCACACTGTAAGACGTAATAAGACTCACTCTGGCACAGACGTCCAGTCTGCACGCTGGAATACAACACTATTATGTCATGACCGTGACGCAGCTTCAAAAATTCGTTTCAAACTGCAAGTACGAATTTGCTTGAAATAATGCAAAAACAACCAATTTACACTTTTTAGTGAAATATAGGTGTCCGAATAGTGTTTTTAGCAGTGTGGGACACATATACGACTGTCAACAGCTCAAAAAATGTGTTTTGGTGTTTCGTGACCCTTTAAGACAAGGGTCAGAGTTTAGAGTTAACTCGGCAGCATTTGTTTATGTTGGAAATTAATTTCCACAAGTACCAGGCTTTTTATATAAATATATATATATATATATATATATATATATATATATATATATATATATATATATATATATATATATATATATATATATATATATATATATATATATATATATATATATATATATATATATATATATATTTATTTATTTATTTACTTATTTATATAATAAATGTCATTCACAGCCTATGCAAGTTCTGTTCACTAAAGTAGACTCAATTCAGATGGTGCGCAACATATCTAAAGAGCGGTGGAGACGTGTTCGTGCGATGTATCTGAGCGACGGGGGTGAGTTGTGCCCAACCTACTTGAAGAGCTAAGAGGGATGTGGTGGAGAGGGGTGTGCGATATATTTAAGGACCGGGGGGAGACGCGGGATTTCCAGAAGATAATCATTAGTTTGCGGCCATCCGGGAGTCTCTATGCATTTGCAGGAAACTTCCGGAACACTTGGGATGTATGGGAGTACATTAACATTACTAGCCATTTTGCGAGCTAGTGTAGCGCATGCCTGACTTGAGTGGTGTTTGAGATTGGCTGTTTTGTGTCGGGGTCCAGGGTTGCGGGGGCAACAGGGGCGGAGCCAGCATGAACAGCATATATATATATATATATATATTAAGGGTGTAACGATACAGTGTCATATTTTGCACTGATTAAAAAAATGCTAGTAATGACGGCGTGGTCTGTCGACCTCAGAAGGTTCAATTACAGTGGTGTTATAATGATATTATCTGCGCTGTAATTGAGGATTTATTATTTATTTTTTACCTTGTTGTTATTATTATGTTATTAAAATTGTTTGTATGTGACAGTTTTTTGTGATATTGTTGATTAAAGTTTAATTCAAAAATAAAATCTCTCTCCCTCTCACTCTTTTATTAGAGAGTTGCTGGAGCAAGTAGCTGAGTTTGAGAAGACTGATTTCAAACCCAACATCAAGGTGAGCTCATTGCAGGTCTTGACAGAATTCTGATAGATGTAGTCTGCTAAAAACTTAATTAACTGACAAATTATAGCTGAAGCTTGCATAAAGTTCACGTTTGTGACATACATTTTTCTATTTTGCCATGACATGCATGTGATATTCTTAGTTTGATAATTATAGCGATTAAAATAAATTAAATTAGACTAGTGAAGTACTTTATGAGTTAATTTATTTACCAGTTTATTTAGTTTATTAAACAATGATTGCTTTGTTTTATTTAGCAAATAGAAGTACTTTAGATGGGCATATAGGTTGCTAATCAACCACACATTAAGTTAATATACCACAGCACACCAATTTTGAGAGAAAAAAAAAAATCTGTCCATAAAGAGTTGCCTTCAATATATATTTTTTTGTGCTTTTAGGCAAACCAGGAGACCACTAAGCCAAAATTAGCACCGCTGAATGAAGGAGGTGTTTCTGAACTACTACAGAGGGTAATTTTTATAGTTTGAACAATTTTATGTTTATAAATGTAATGTATGTAAATGAACAGTAACAGAAAAAAAACTAAAACGTTTTATTTGTTTATTTTAGGAAATTTCTAGACTACAAGAGGACAATGACAAATTGAAAGCCAGACTGAGAACCCTGGAATCTCGGGTAAAGGAACTGTAATAGTAATAACAATAAAATAAAAAAAAAACTCATAATGTCTTAATATACTGGTCAAATCATGGCTTGACACCTACTTTTTTTAGAAGGAGCATGCGTGCTTCTAAGTCGAAAAATTTAGGAGCACATACAAGTCTTTTTTAGAGCATAGTAAAAGTTAAATAAATGAACAAAAGGAGAACTTGATTTATTTGAATACAATTGTAACATGGGATCAGGGTGACAACAGGGGTCAGATCAACATGCAGTTTATTAGGGAATTGTTAGGCAGGCAAAGGTCACAACAGGTACAAACAGGAGCATAAAGGTAATCCAAGAGTGTAGTCAGAATAACAGCCGAATGGTTGGCAGTGTGCAAAACAAAAAGAACAATAAACAACACTGGTCAAAATCATGGAAATGCAAGACATGAAAAACACTAGTTATGCTTACAGAGGAATAAGACTCCACAACAATGCAACACTGCTGGCAACAATGCAAGGCAATCATAACATCAATAAGTTTATATAAGAATCAGCTCTTTGGTTTAAATCACATTTAAACTTTGGGGATTTAAATCTAAAGATTCGAACATGATTCACATACAATTATTCAAAGCTTACACTTAACCTAATATTTGTCCAGCAAATGGAATGATTAGTGTAAAGCAATCTTGTATTATATTATTACGTGGCCAACAATAACAATATAAAAACAGTGTCTAATTATTTAATGAGCAAAGTAGCAGTATCTATAGCTGAGGCATTAACTTATAAAGCATACAATACACCAACATGGATCTTAAAAACGAAACAAAAGTTTATTGCTACTCTATAACACAACAAACTAATGTACGTAAAACAACAAACGCACATACATACACACACAAGCAGTTTATGAAGAGTTGTGACTGAGTAGATTCAACTTCTAGCATTTGCTAAGTTCTTAGCATTACAATCTGAGAGAAACCATAAAAGCAGAGAATTTCGCTATTTTTTTACTATAATATAATTCACACCAGTTTCAGCAATAGATTGATACGTTGTTTGCGTTACTTGCGTTCTGATGGAATTTTGGTTTCCTCGACTGGTCCAAAGAGAAATCCCAACAAAGCTGATTGGTCAGCATAGCAACTCCAGTGACGTGTTGCAATTCCCTCGTCAGTGAAGAGGGGTTTCGTTACTTTCAGGGAAGCTTAGAGACGGTTGCTAGGGATACAGATGTTGGATGAGGCACCATTGTAGATGAAGTCCTTCTTGGGGTTCCTGTAGTTATGACAGAGTTTCAGAGTTCTGATGAGTTGACGCGATGGCTTGTTGTTGAAGCGGTTGCACAAGCAGATCAGGGGTCGAGCCGGCAGCAAGAGAGCGTCACAGTCTGCTCCGTGATGTAACGAGGCTTCCGGCGAGGCGATGTAACAGCCACAGCAAGAAAAGAGTGACGTCTGGGCAGCGACTGGCAAAGACGACTGGCAAAAGACGACAAAGAAATTGTCCTTGTTCAAAGTTTTTAGGCTTTGGGTATAGGCTGGGCCTGCACAGGGATTGTCCAATCAGAGAATCAGTTGGGTGGGATCACACCCCCATTCCCTCCTCTATGAGGCCGGGTTGACACATTGCCACATTGATTGGGAGTTGTTAAAATAAAGTATCATAACATGGACACTTTTCATAGTATGGTTTCTTCATATAAACCAATGCATTTGAAACTTTCCTAGCTTTCAATTAATACTAAACATGAAGCATTTTACAAACATTCGTATAATTTCATTTACCACCGAGGGCTATAACTCAATAACTATCCATAACTGTTTGGTTAAACACATGGACCATGTACAAACAAAAATCTACAGAAACTTAAAATAAACATACAATACTCAAATAAACACAGCTAACTTGAATGTCCATTTAATCTTTGGAAGCTTTTTTTTAATCACTTCTGTGTCTGCCTGAGAATATGTATTCTTTCGCAGACGCCATTTGCAGGCATGAACAAAAAGGGCTTTGCTGAGCACTCAAAAACCGGTTTGGGTGGTCTTTGAGTGTAGCCTCTTTTTATTGTGTTAAGATGTAAAGTTAATTAGCACGCATTTGTGATCGCGACTGGCAAGTCATCCTGTAGATAACCTTTTGCTGGGTGCTTGTGGATTGCTTTGAAAATTAAATCAAAGCACAGACATGTAGGCACCAACCAATCTTTTAAGGATAATATGGTCTGTGACTTGTTCAGTTCTGGAAGAAACCATTGACTCCCTACATTCACAAGGTTTTATTTTAGTGTAACAGTAACTGTCTCTTTAAATAGTATTTAATAATAATTTTTCATTTATGTTGTAAGTCTACTTTTAAGCCCACAGCTGAACTGGGATCAAATTACCTCTCTAAACTCTCTTAAGTTATCATTAAGTTAAGTAAAATGTGCAGTATCTCATGGTTGGCTCAAATAGTAAAATTATCAGAGCAGTTTAATTTGTGTTTGTATCTTTACAAGATGATGGATACATCAGTAGTCCAAAACAAAACTCTATCTTTATTATTTATTTGGATTTATTTATTTTTACTTTGTTATTATTATGTTATTTTTGTTTGTATGTGACAATGTTTTATTTTGTGATGTTAAATATTGTTGATTAAAGTTTAACTCAACATTTAAATACTGTTCTCTCTCTCTCTAGCAATAACAAAAAACAAAATACAAAACATAAATGTAGATAAAAGTTATATAAGTAATAATAAACAAACACGCATGCATATATTGTTACATTATACATATCTGTTGTCAAAATAAACAAATCAGATTAGGCCAATATATATATATATATATATATATATATATATATATATATATATATATATTTATATAAGTAGAATAGAATTATTTATAAAAACCAGTAGGCCTACACATAATATTATTATCGATGTGCCATATGTTTGTTTTTACCATACTTTTATTTTACATCTACAGAATCGTGAGAGAATCGTGATCTTTATTTTAAGCAAAAAAAATTGTGATTCTCATTTTAGCCAGAATCGTGCAGCTCTAATATATATATATATATATATATATATATATATATATATATATGTATATATGTATATATATATATATATATATATATATATATATATACAGTGAGAGTAAAAAGTATTTGATCCCTTGCTGATTTTGTTGGTTTGCCCACTAATAAAGACATGATCATTCTGTACTTTTAATGGTAGATGTATTCTAACATGGAGAGACAGAATATCAAAAAGAAAATCCAGAAAATAATTTTAAGAATATATATTAATTGATTTGTATTTCATTGAGGGAAATAAGTATTTGATCCCCTAGTATGCATTAGGACTACTGACTTTCACAGACCAGTTAGACACTACCAATCAACTTGTTACCTGAATTGAAGTCACCTGTTCTAACTAATCACCTGTGTGAAAGACACCTGTTCACAGAATCAGACAATCAGACAGATTCCAAACTCTCCAACATGGGTAAGACCAAAGAACTTTCTCAGGACCTCAGAGACAGGATTATTGACCTACACAAATCTTGAACAGGCTACAAAAACATTAGCAAGATGCTGGGTATTAAAGTAACAACCATTGGTGCAATCGTGAGTAAATTTAAGAAGTAAATCTTAATCGGTAAGTAATCGGTCTGGTGCTCCACAGAAGATTTCACCTCGTGGGGTGGCAATGATCATGAGAACTGTGAGAAATCAGCCTGCAACCACACAGCGGGAGTTAGTGAATGACCTCAATGCAGCTGGGACCACAGTCACCAGGAAAACAATTGGCAACACTTTGCGCCGCAATAGATTAAAATCCTGCAGTGCCCGAAAGGTGCCCCTGCTTAAGAAGGCACATGTGCAGACCCGCCTAAAGTATGCAATGATCACCTCAAAGATGTACGAAGTGATTGGGAGAAGGTTCTGTGGTCAGACGAGACCAAAATTGAACTATTTGGCCTAAACTCTACTCATCATGTGTGGAGAAAGAAAAATGCTGCCTATGACCCCAGGAACACTGTACCAACTGTCAAGCATGGAGGTGGAAGCATTAAGTTTTGGGGGTGTTTCTCTGCCAAGGGCACAGGGCTACTTCACCGCATTAGTGGGAAGATGGATGAAGCCATGTACTGTGCAGTCCTGGGGGACAACCTCCTCCCCTCTGCCAGGAAGTTGAAAATGGGCCGTGGTTGGGTCTTCCAACATGACAACGAGCCGAAGCATACAGCAAAGGCAACAAAGGAGTTGCTCAAGAAGAACCACATTAAGGTCATGGAGTGGCCCAGCCAGTCTCCGGACCTCAATCCAATCGAAAATCTATGGAGGGAGCTGAAGGTCCGAGTTGCCAACCAACAGCCCACCAACCTTAATGATTTAGAGAGGATCTTTAAAGAAGAGTGGGCCAAAATTCCCCCTGATATGTGTGCTAACCTTGTGGTTAAGTACAACAAACGTCTGTCCGCTGTGCTTGCAAACAAAGGCTGTATTATCAAGTATTAGGTGTTTTTGGCTAGAGGGATCAAATACTTATTTCCCTCAATGAAATACAAATCAATTAATATATATTATTTAAAGTTATTTTCTGGATTTTCTTTTTGATATTCTGTCTCTCCATGTTAGAATACATGTAGCATTAAAAGTATAGAATGATCATGTCTTTATTAGTGGGCAAACCAACAAAATCAGCAAGGGATCAAATACTTTTTACTCTCACTGTATATTAAGGGTGGAGCCGAACCCGAATACGATATTCGGAAAGGCACGAATAGCGTGTTTTTACGAATACTTATTTCAAACAAATACTTGAAAAATTATTTGTATTCGGGAGCAAGAAAAACAATATATCAAAAAGCAGCGTTTCCTTATGAGACCACAGTGCATGCCCGCGTGAGTGAGTGAGTGAGTGAGTGAGTGAGAGAGAGAGAGAGAGAGAGAGAGAGAGAGAGAGAGAGAGAGAGAGAGAGACGCTCAGTCAAATAGTATGCACTTATGGGAGTTATATGGT